CAGTCACTTTGCGCCAGATGCCCATGCTTAGCAGCTCTTGCAGGGCGGCTGGCAGGGCACAGAGTCTGTGTAAGCAAGTAGCAAGGCAGGCTAAGCAGGAAACGCAACAGATCGGTAGGTAAAATTGGGAATGTCTAAGGTTTTTTTCTGTGATTTGGTCACTCACTGTTAGAAAAAAACCTATGGCTTGCCTACACTTCTCTCATTTGAAGGTCATGTTTGTGCATGCTTGTGTGAGCATGTGTGTGTGTTTTCTAATTTACTGTGTTCATTGGGTATGCGAGTATAAACAGACTTCTTAATGACTTTTTTCCCCAAATAATCTACCCTTAACTTCTCAGGTAGAAGTTATTTTTACATGTGTGTCCTTGGGTAATTGGTCTAGTTTTATTTAGAATAGAACCTCACCATCTGGGGTGTGAACTGAACCAGGGGACCATCGTGCTAAAGCACGTCGAAGCAGGGCTGTTCAGAGCTGTGCCGACTTGAGGCTGTCAGAACCTCCCCTACCCAGGCCGGTCCGGCCCTTTCTCCCTAGGGTTGCAATCCTGTGCCCCGCATTTCCATTTACTTACATGGTTCTGACAGAACTGTCAGGCTCTAGCCACACTGAGAGTGTGACTTCATCATGCTCCATTCCCTTCTGCTAGTGAGCCATTTACACCAGACATGGGGCATGTTGGAAGTCAGATGCTGGCTTTATAGCTGCTGAGGCTACAGCCAGTTTGGGCCTCTTACCTACTCCGACTAGCCCAGCCCTGGGGACCCTCGTGGTGGGAGTCATGGAGCCATGTCTGCAGCAGAGCTCCTCCTGCATTTACCCATTCATGGGCAGAAGTACCAGCACACTGCAGGGACCCCTGGGGCACAGCCCACCTCTCGCAGGCAGGCCCCAGGGAAGAACTAGGATCGACAGGGCTCTGTGTGTGTATGTGTCCGGCACCTTTGCTCAGTCTCACCAACCAGAGAAATCAGATGTCACTCTGTGGGGAGGAGGGTGAATACAAGGAAGAAGAGCAGAAGGCTTTGTCTTTTGTCGGCCCTTCCAAAGCCAGAAGTTCCTCTTTAATGAGTCAAGGTAGGAATGCTTATGGGAGGAGAAAATGTTTTCGGTTGCATCATCTCCCACAAGATAGCAGTCATTCTTTCTTGTGGCCTCTCTTGCCAAATCCCAGATCCATCCCCTGCCTCTCTACTGTTGTTGGACCAAAGGCACTCATAGCATTCGCATGATATTCCAGGGAGTAAGTAGCGTGCTTTGATCTTGGCAAGGCATTAGATTGAGGCTCTCAAGATACCCTCATGGTAGTTACAGCAAAATCGGTGATGAGTTTACAGCTGTGGGCGCCGCTCACCTCAGCAGGTCACTGTTAGCTTGAGAGGGTGGCATGGTGGGGGGACACAACACAGAGGATCTACCTGGTTAATGGTGTTATTACAGCCCAAGGTGACAGTAAGAAAGGAAGGCATGACCAAGCAAAAGATCTCCTGCTTTATATTTGTACAGATTATTTGAACCTAAGCACCAGTTTTTGCAGCTCATTGGCAAACCATGCTCAATGGAGCACTGTCTATGTGAGCCAGCAAGATGTGATGGTCTCCCCTGGTACAGTTCAGCCTCCTGGTTTTGGCTCATTCTTATCTGTGAGGGTTATTTAGGTTTTTAGTTTATCATCTATTTAATCAAAACCAATATCTAACAGCTGTTCAGTGCTTACCCTATGCCAGTTCTAAAAAGAATGTCTTGGGGTCTTGGTGACCCCAAACTCAGACTTAGCCACCATTGCAACACAGGCAGCAGAGCAGAGTTGTAAGGAGGGAGTCAGGTAGTCATGGCTCAAACCCCAGCTCTGTCATGTAGTTAACTGTGGGACGTCATTTAGTCTCTCTAAGCCTGGTTTCCTCGTCTGTAAAGTGACCATAATAATAGTATCTATGTCATACCATTTATACACATATGTGTATATGCACATTTGGTAGCACAGTGGCTGGTGGACAGACAGCACTCAGTAAACACAGACACAACTGTGCAGGGTGTTCATGGAGGTCTGAGCTCCAGATGGCCAGGGGAGGGAACTGGCCCCACTCTGTCAGAACACAGGAGTCACGTGCTGAATCATAGTGGCGCTCATCCGTTACCTCTCGAGCTAAGGCTCTCAAGAGCCTGCAGGCGTGTGTCAGGGTCACCGTGGGGATTGGAAGCTGCCCCTCCAAGCAAAGCAGCTCCACTCTCATCTACTATATAGAGATTGTGTGTATGTGTGTGTCTCTCTCTAATATCTCAGGGACTCTCGGTTGAGGGGGATCTTGTCCTTGAGAAGACATTTGGCAATATCTGCAGAGTTTTCTTGGTTATCACAACCCAGGGAGGGGAGCAGATTGCTATCGTCATCTTGTGGTGGAGCCCATGGGCACTGCCGCACATCCTACAACAAAGAGCAATGCAGCCACAGACGTCAGGAATGCTGTGTCGTGAAAGCCTGCTACGCACACCTGTGTGTATGCTGGGGCAGGGGGGTTCTGTGCATGGTTTTTGTTTGATAAAAGAGTCTAGGAAAAAATTAGGGCTGAGGCAGGAGGATCATTTGAGCTCAGGAGTTCAAGACCAGCCTGAGCAAGAGTGAGACCCCCTCTCTACTAAAAATACAAAAAAATTAGCTGGACAACTAAAAAAATATATGGAAAAAATTAGCCGGACATGGCAGTGCATGCCTGTAGTCCCAGCTACTCGGGAGGCTGAGGCAGAAGGATCGCTTGAGCCCAGGAGTTTGAGGTTGCTGTGAGCTAGGCTGATGCCACTGCACTCTAGCCTGGGCAACAGGGCAAGACTCTGTCTCAAAAAAAAAAAAAAAATTAGAAAACCAGGGTTATATAGTACATCTAGAAAGAACCACCTGATTGATGAGCACTCTTAAAAACTGCGTCCCTTAGGAATGGTGGGACAACCTGAGCGTGGGGCCTGAGCCAGGGGAGCCTAAGAGCAGAGGGGAGAAGAGCCTGCAGAGAGTCACAGCACTGTCCACATGGATGGATGTCTCAGGGGTTCTGGGTTGCTCCAGGCCTCACAGGATGGTGACATAGGGAAGTCACTTTATCCAATATGAAGAGATCCTTCCTGGGGTTAGGGCTGTTCTCCTGGGAAGCCAGACTGCTATGGGAGGGGTGGACAGCTTGCTATGAAATTGTGATCCAGTCTGATTTGACATCATTAAAATGATTGATACTGAAACAACTGGATTTTAGAAATTCAGATCATGTTAAAGACATATACATTGTAACAAGCGATCACCTGTTCCCCCCCACTATGTGACCCTCCACCTGGCATTGACTGAGAGAGGGTGCTCTCCTGGGTACCAGGAGCCACCAGCCTTTTAACATGATAATGTCATCAGAAAACTGGCCTATGTCTCATCTAGTCCACATGCCACTTGAGGGTTATTCTCTAGTTCGTGACCAAGTTTAATACTGATCTGATCCTTACCACCAAGATCTGATTAGGTAACCCTTTTTAAGCCTTTGGTTAGAAAATGACTTTAAATATTAGGTGGAGTTGCTATTTTTATTGCTGCTTTTATAGTTCAAAACCAGATAATTAGCAATTCCATATGGTTCAACCTGCTACAGGATTGAAAGTGACAATTTGTAATTTATATGTACAGATTATTTTATATCCTTCCTAGGGGAACTCTGTACAGGTGCCTGCATCCCTGTGCAAACCTCTGAAGAAACTCGGCATCTCAAGCTAAGCTCTTACCTACGTCCCCAATCACCAGCACTGACCAAGAGCCGAGCCTAGGCTGGCGCACCGATCATGGACCTTTTCCCAGCAGACATAATACAAGTGCCCAAATTTTAACAAAATGGTGTTTCCTTGGATGGCATAGCCTCACCTTTTACCTCTGCCCAGTAGAGAAGAAAGATATTCTTTTAAACCTGAGAACCTCCAAAAGACACCCCCTGTCCGCATCTCTTTGCTAACTTTGCTCTTCAGCATTTAAAAAGGAACTGGGGCGGGCGCGGTGGCTCATGCCTGTAATCCTAGCACTCTGGGAGGCCGAGGTGGGCATATTGCTCGAGGTCAGGAGTTCGAAACCAGTCTGAGCAAGAGCGAGACCCCGTCTCTACTATAAATAGAAAGAAATTAATTGGCCAACTAATATATATAGAAAAAAATTAGCCAGGCATAGTGGCACATGCCTGTAGTCCCAGCTACTTGGGAGGCTGAGGCAGCAGGATTACCTGAGCCCAGGAGTTTGAGGTTGCTGTGAATTAGGCTGATGCCACAGCACTCACTCTAGCCTGGGCAACAAAGCGAGACTCTGTCTCAAAAAAAATAAATAAAAAGGAACCGGGAACCTTGAAGACATTATGCTAAGTAAAATAAACCCTATGCAAAAGGACAAATAGTGATTGCACTTATGTGAGGTACCTGGAATAGGCAGATTCTTAGAGACAGAGAGAGAGCAGAAAGATGGCCACCAGGGGCTAGTGGGAGGGGGAATGGGGAGTTCGTGTTTAATGGAGACGGCTGCACAACACTGGGAATGTACTTAATGCCACTGAACTGTATACTTAAAAATGGTTAAAATGGTCAATTTTATGTTATGTGTATTTTATCACAATTTTTTTAAAAAAGGAGCCAACTTGTTCATTACCATATGCTGAAGCCAGATCCAACCATGATGTTCACCTAACACGAGAGTGTGGGAAAATGCCTAACACTCCATCATTACATTGTCTTCAATTCTGAGTGAGGTTAGCACATGGCATCACCAGCTGGGTGTCTCAAAATATCTCCCCTTCCACCAGGGCCATCTTACAGATACCATATGTTCCTGTTAGGGTGAGAGTACTTTAGTGCCTTTTGAGTGTGTGCTGAGCCCCCCTCTGAGCCTCTGGAAGGTAAAATCGTTCAACACTTTGGAACCAGTTGTTTTGGGAACAGAGAGCTCTGCGCGCAGGCCCAGTAATCACCTTATGGCATGTTTTTGGTTTTCCAGGACGCCTTCGAAAGCATATCCACCGTCTCCAAAGACGACGAAGCCACCGTACCCAGGGTCTCCTGTGAAGTACCGTGTTCCTGCCCTTCCCGGCCAAGAAACACCCAAAAAGAAAGCAGAGAAAGAGAAGAGCAACAAGGAAAGGGAAGGTGCCTTGGCTCAGCAGGCTGCTGGGCCACCCGGCGAGGAAGCCCCAGAGAAGCACGTGGCAGACAAACATGCCAGCGAGAAGCACGCCGCTGCGGCGGGGAAGGCCGAGAGCAGCGCAGGTAGACCCCTTTGTCAGCGCTGCCACCACCGGGCCTTGGCTTTCCCACGACAGTTCTCCCCATGACCTGGTCCACATGCCATTCCCTCCTGTTTGGGGGAGGGAGAGGAATTTTTCCCTGGGAAGACAACTTCATCTCCTTGCACAGCTTTCTGAGGCTTGTACATTGCTCCTGAGTCCTTGCCCCACTGTCCCGAGGGTCCCCTGGAGAAGACCTAGGGTAGCCCCACTCGTGGCTGTGGAAGCACGTGGGGTGCAAGGTAAGGCAGGCTGCGTCCAGCCAGCATCTGCACTGCCCGCAGACGGGGTCTTCCTTTAGCACTCCAGGCTTCTGCGATGCAGTGAGTTCACCCAGGGGGTAGCTGCTGTCGGATGCGCTAGTGACCCTGTCTCTCCTCCTCACCTTTCCACTGCCCTCCACTGTGCAATGCGTCCAGGGTCACAGCTAGCCTGTCGCTGCTCCTCTTGCCCCGTGGCTGATTGTGCGAGCGCTGGCAGTGTTGCCCATCGCCACGCTGGGCTGGATTGTTCGTTTCCACGTGGCAGCTGCTGTGTGAGTGGAATCATTCTGTTTGTTTCCCTTGATCTTTTCCTCTTGCCGCCTCTCCTCTGGTGCAGCCTTGGGGAAGCCCACAGCCGGCACAACTGACGCAGGAGAGGCGGCAAAGATCCTGGCTGAAAAGAGAAGACAGGCCCGGCTGCAGAAGGAGCAGGAGGAGCAAGAACGACTGGAGAAAGAAGAGCAAGACAGGTACACAGCGCTCAGTTTTGGTGTGATCTCATGTAAAGATTGTGTTGGAAACAGCACCTCGCCTTTCTTTTTATGGTTTTGGTATTAATAAAATCTGAGCAGGCCAGGCGCAGGGGCTCACGCCTGTAATCCTAGCACTCTGGGAGGCCGAGGCAGGTGGATCACTCAAGGTCAGGAGTTTGAAACCAGCCTGAGCAAGAGCGAGATCCCGTCTCTACTGAAAATAGAAAGAAATTAATTGTCCAACTAAAAATACATAGAAAAAATTAGCCAGGCATGGTGGCACATGTCTGTAGTCCCAGCTACTTGGGAGGCCAAGGCAGAAGGATTGCTTGAGCCCAGGAGTTTGAGGTTGCTGTGAGCTAGGCTGATGCCATGGCACTGTAGCCAGGGCAACAGAGTAAGACTCTGCCTCAAATAAAATTTCAAAAATAAAATAAATAAATAAATAAAATCTGAGCAGAAGTATGGGAACCTAGAATGCCTGAGCTATGAGGAAGGTATTCAGGAGACTGCATCTTCTGTTAGATGTAATTAATAACAGTGGAACTTTGCTCTTTTTGGAGGACCTGGAAACTCATAGCTCCTGGATCTAAATGGTACAGACAGATTCCCATTCTCTTCTTGGACTTAGAGACCAGACAGGTCTTGTGTAGCTATCTGGGGTGGGGTGGGGGTGTTGAGCTTTGTTTATAGGATGAGATTTTCCCTGGGAGGACAAGAGGTTCTGGATGTAGAGGTCTTGATTTTGATTCCCAAATTGTTTTCTCCCTCAAATTATCCTGACACAAATCCCAGAATGAAAGAGGCAGGTTGAGCAGAGTCCCCTAGACATAGTCCATGAACAATGAGGTGTGGGGACTCTCACCCTGGCACAAGACAAAAGATGGCATTGCAGTGGTCCCTAAACTTTGGAGGGTATCACAGTCATTCCAAGAACAAAGTAAAAATACATGAGCCCAAGCCCTGTTCTATTTCAGTAGCTCACCAACGTTTGAGAACCTGGGTGTTGTGTTAGTTTCAGGGCACTTTGTCACAAAACAGACAGTCCTGCCTTTTCTGATCTTTCTATTTAGAGAGGAGTGCAAGTTAAAGGACAAAGTAGATTTTATCATTAAATTGATAAAGGAAGCTGTTAGGATAATCACAGAGTACAGTCCAATACTGTTTAGAGAATTAACATGACAGGAAACAAGCTGTAGCACTTCAAGACCAGCGCTGAATTTAGAATAATAAATAATTGAGTATTCTTGATCCTTTAGTGGCCTTGGTAAGTCTTTGTGGTTTCTGATCAATTTTTTAAAAGGGGCCGCAAGGTTGGGTGGGGCGGGTGGGGTGGGTTGAGGTCTCGCTCATCCCCTCTTCAAATTCTGGACTTCTCTGATTATTTTCCAATCTCCAGTCTTTTGGTTACTATCACCAGGTTTTTTTGTGGAGTGGCGTGTTTGTTTGGGCTAGTTTGGTTGGACCATAGGGTGTGTAAAGGGAGGTCGTAGGAGCTGCAGGTGAATCGTAGGACCTCAAATGACAGGCCTTGATAATTGCAGGCCGGGGAGATACTGTGCAGGCTCTGAGCTGGTGAATAACATGATTGCAGCTGTGTGCGTAGGGAGGTGAAGTTCTTTACCATCCCGCTACCCCCCCCCCTCATTTCCTTCACAGCTCAGCTCCTGAAAGAATTGATTGACCTTCCTTCCTGTCTCTATTTCCTTAACTTACACTCAGTCTTCGAACCTCACGCCACCGTTCCTCCTCACTGCCAGACTCCTAATTGATTTCTTGGTTGTCTTTGACCTTGTCGAGCTTGCCCTTGCTTCTCCAGCAGACTCTCCGTCACAGCCTCCTCTGTTCACTCCTTGTCCCCTTAACTGTCGCCTGGGCTCTCAGCGCTCAGTCCTTGAGCAAGCTTCTCACTTGACCAGCCCTCCACAGCGTTGCTCCCTCCTGCTCTGCCAGGCCCCCACCATGCTGCCATGTTTCCCTCTGCCTCGTTTTATCATCAGTTCCTGAAGCTAATCGCAGCTTGCTTTGTAAACCTTCCATACTTTCTGGAACAAGGGAGGCACTAAATAACACTTGTGTACCAATGACTCCTGAAACCGTGCTTATGGCCTGGGCTCCGTCTAGGGCCGTGCCGTCTAGTGCCATGGCCTGCAGGCACGTGTGGCTACCAAAATGGACATTCGGCAAAATTCAGTTCCCTAGGCAAACTAGACACACTTCAGTGCTCAATTGCCGCATGTGGCTAGTAGCTACCATGTTGGATGACACAAATCTATAGAACATTTTCCTCATCACAGAAAGTTCTGTTGGATAGCTTGTCTAGAACTTAGAGACCATATTTCCAATTGCCTATGTTCTCCTTTGAACATGTCCATATGTGTCTCAAATTCAGCATTTCCAAAGCAGAACTTTTTAAAAAAATTATTTCTAGAGACAGGGTCTCACTCTGTCACCCAGGCTAGAGTGCAGTAGCATGATCATAGCTCCCTGCAACCTCTAACTCCTGGGCTCAAGTGATCCTCCCACTTCAGCCTCCTAAGTAGCTGGGACTACAGGCATGTGCCACCATGCTCAGCTAATTTTTTAACTTTGTAGAGATGGGATCTTGCTATGTTGCTCAGGCTGGTCTCCACCTCCTGGCCTCAAGTGATCCTCCCGTCTCAGCCTCCCAAAGTACTGAGATTACATGAGCCACCATGTCCAGACCCAAAGCAGAACTTTGTATCTTTCTCCCAAATTTCCTTTTCCTTTTACAAGCTCTGCACCCACATCTCCCCACACACCTAAGTCAGAAGTTTCAGTGCCACCTTCATCTCTTCCCTTTCCTTCCTCCTCCATGTTCCGTCAGTTGCCAGGTTCATTAGCGTCTCTGTTCTCTCCCTGCCCCTCTAGCCCCTCCTCCCTTGCCTGAGCTCCAGCCCCTGTTCCCCTGACCTGGACTGTGCCTGTGGCATCCCAGCTGAGCTCCTTGCTCCTAGAACTTGTCCCCTATCCATACTGAGTCCACAGTGACCTTTCTCAAATAAATGTGATTGTTCTGATCCTGTCCTTTAACAAGCCAGTGACTCCCCTGCCCACAGGATCTGCCCAAACCTGCCAGTAGGCCTTCAAGGCCTGCCAGGAACCAGCCACTACCTCCCCCTCCTCCCCAACCCCCCCTCCCCCCTCCGGCACACAGACCTCCCTGCCCTTCCCCCATGCACAGCTCCGCACCTCCAGAGCCTAGCTCTTACTGTGCCCCCACCTGGACTCGTGCTCCTTCTTGCCAGACACCTCTTCCTTTCTCAGGATGCAGGTCAAACCCCGCTTCCTCTCTGTAGCCTTCCTGGACCTGTGCCTGGGGGAGAACTGAACACCCTCCACTCTGTACCCTGACTGAGCCTGGCTGTTCAGCTAACTAACATAGACTCGTTTGTTTACAGGCCTGTTTTTGCATAGTTAGCACCTTAAAAGGCTGGTGTCCAGTAAATGCATGAGAAAGGAAAAGGAGGAGGAAGAAGCCCAAGGAAGAAACCGTCCCATTAGCAGGTTAAGAGAACACAAGCCTGAAGTAGCATGGTGAAAGCAGACCTGGAAAAGCAAGTCTGTAGACTTGTACAACTCAAAAGAAATGGGCAGGCCGGGCGTGGTGGCTCACGCCTGTAATCCTAGCACTCTGGGAGGCCGAGGCGGGCGGATTGCTCAAGGTCAGGAGTTCCAAACCAGCCTGAGCGAGACCCCGTCTCTACAATAAAAATAGAAAGAAATTAATTGGCCAACTAATATATATATATATATATATATATATATATATATAAAAGCTGGGCATAGTGGTGCATGCCTGTAGTCCCAGCTACTCTACTCGGGAGGCTGAGGCAGTAGGATTGCTTGAGCCCAGAAGTTTGAGGTTGCTGTGAGCTAGGCTGACGCCATGGCACTCACTCTAGCCTGGGCACAAAGCGAGACTCTGTCTGAAAAAAAAAAAAATGGGCAGAGTCGAAGTTAATGCTAAGGTTTAATTCTAAAGCCTTAGGAGAATGGTAAACCCAATAACAGATGAAGGAAGGACATGCGGAATTGGTTTTAAAGAATAAAAATTATCCATTTGGTTTTAGATAAACTTAAGCTTATGGTGCCTGAAAAATGTCTAAGTGATGATTAGAAATGGAATTGAAGCCCGAGGCCTAGGTAAAAATGAGAGCAACATGCTTGACTCCAAATCAGTTTTCCTGTCCCTTGCCAAATATGAAGCTTTGCGTAGAGCCACTGGGGGGGGGAGGTGGGCAGGTGGGGGAGGGAGGAAGGCAGCAGGCAGCCTGGGGCTGGGACACAGCAGACACCTCTTGGAATAAGATCATCCTCACATCTGTTCTGTGCTTAGCCCATAGTTAAAGCCACAGAAATTTAGTTGCCAGATGGCAGAATATAGAGAAAAATAAAGATCCTTGAGCCAAACCATAGAAAGCCCAATTATTGTCACAAACTGGTGAGGGAAACACCATCCAAGTCAGGGAGGGGAAGACTCCCGGCACAGAAGGGCTGGCCAGGAGTCCAGGGCACACAGGCCCCAAGTTGAAGGGCAAATGCGAGTCCATTCCCACATGTAGCAGGGCCCAGCGCTAGGATGTGGAGGGCCCAAGATGTAAAGTGGATTCTTGGGGTTGGGGCAAGAAACCTCAGCCCCAAGGCCCACCCTGGGGAAGGCACTGGCAGAAACTAGCAAGCAAGAGCTCCTACTGGAATTACAAAATAGATTATGGTAAGTCCTATTAAAAAGCTAAAACAGCTGCTAGGGACCCACATAAAAGAATATTCCAGTAAGACAGCCCCATGAGCAAGGTCACGTAGCCAGGCTGAAGCTTGGTGTTCATGCAAGAGTTAGCCCCAGCCCTGGAAGCACAGGCACAGGGCCTCGGGGCTGTGCTTCTTGCTGGCTGAGCCTCCAGGTGACAGATTGTTTTGGCGACAGCAAGGGCAGGCAGGGATGCATTTGACATGAGCCAGCAGGGTGCGGCGGCTGCCTAGGTGGAAAGGAAGAGCCAGAGGGGCCAGAGGGAGCCAGGGCCACGTGGCCTCGCGGGAGGGACCTTTGATGCTGTTGACACCTACAAGACATGTCAAGGCTGAAGAAAGACTGTTGGTCGTGGGGTTTCAAAGATGAACAGAGATTTGGGAGGGAAATTTTTGAGAAGAGGGATGGGGACATGGCAGCTTTAAGGGGTGGGGGCGGGGCAGGAGTCCCAAATGGAAGCTGGCTGGGAAGCGGTCACAGTGGGAGGCCGGCAGGAGAAGAGGGTTGCTCAGGGTGCCCGAGACCAGAGCACTTTTGTAGGCCTTAGAAAGGTACGTGTAGAAGGGCGAAACTGGAAGGAAGAGGATCTAGTAGGAGGAACATGGGGCTGCGGGAGGGTGTAGAATTCCTAGCACGAGTTATGGCACTTACAATCCCTTGCATTTAAGCAGAGGAAGAAAAGAGGAAATTTCTGAGCAGTAATGCCATACAGGAGAGAAGTTTCAGAAGCTCAGATCAGGTGGCCCCAGTCTGCTCTGTAAAGTGGTTGGTGATGCCATCAACTGAGAAGGATGACGAAGATTGAGAAAAGGTGGCAATTTGGACTGTGTCCAGGGGGTGAAGATTAAGAGGCTAGAATGTGGCAGCCGGGACTGAGGGGCAAGTGACCGGTCAGACTTGTTTGCACCCTTCTCTGACCAGTGCCTGGCAGCCCAGGAGGGACACGAGTGGTGCTGGGGGCGACCCAAGTCTGGAGTTGGGCAACAGGGTGACCTCCATGCCATCTCAGAAACGCTCAGGCAGGGATTGGAGGCCTGGGAGACGCCGAGAGAAGAGGGACACAGACACACAAGATGACTACACAGTGCTAAGCAGGCCAGGGCAGGACAGCAAAAGGCGGGAGGATGGGGTGAGAGCAGAGCAAAGAAGGTTAATGTTGAAGGTTAAGCTTGTTATTAATGAAAACGTTTAAGCACATAAGAATAGAGAACAGTGAAACCTACATACTTGTCCACCAGATTGAACAATTCAAGGCTGAGCACACGTCAGTGACGTGAGTGAGGTGTGACAGGGTGGGACAGAAAAGGGAGTAAGGTGCTATAGGTGGGGACAGGCTAGTATACGAAGATCCTCACCAATAACTAGTGACAAGGACAAGGGATGCTTCCATTAAATGTCAGATGATGACAATGATGTACAGTTTTCTAGTACTTTCTACTTAGTTGGTGAGGAACTGGGAATGGGCTTGGGTGGACAACAGAAACAAGGATGGGGAGGGTGGCAGAACTGCACACAGGTCTGGAGAACTCTGGAGGTAACTTAGAAATGATAGCAAGGGCTATGGGCCGGGGTGGCCTACAGCAGAGGGCTAGTGGAGAAAATGATAAAACGTAATGTTCTCTCTGCTTCCTTAAGCAGAGAGAAAGAATGCTCATGCTTGAAGAGGATTGTGAAGGACCCGGTTTCACATGGGAGAATCCAGCCTTTTATTTTTGCCAGTTTGTACCTACTTCGGGGGAAGCAAAGTATAATTAAAGGAGGGAATTTTGTCTGTAAGAGGATGCGATTTTTATGGAGGTACTATGGAAAGGACAAGCTAATGGGCCTGTGGGGAAGAATTTCAGGTCTTGGTGATAATGAGAATTATGAAGATTTAGGGGCCATGAGGATGTTCCTATGTGTCTGCATCTGGGGACCTCTGAAATCCTGATGATAAAAATGGAAGAGCAGGCCAGGTGCGGTGGCTCACACCTGTAATCCTAGCTCTTTGGGAGGCCGAGGCAGGCAGATTGCTCAAGGTCAGGAGTTCAAAACCAGCCTAAGCAAGAGTGAGACCCCCCTCTCTACTATAAATAGAAAGAAATTAATTGACCAGCTAATATATATAGAAAAAATTATCCAGGCATGGTGGTGCACACCTGTAGTCCCAGCTACTTGGGAGGCTGAGGCAGGAGGATTGCTTGAGCCTAGGAGTTTGAGGTTGCTGTGAGCTACGCTGATGCCATGGCACTCACTCTAGCCTGGGCAACAAAGTGAGTCTCTGTCTCAAAAAAAAAAAAAAATGGAAGAGCTAGTGACTTTTTAGATCCTGAAGATGAAGGTACCAGGTCCTTTGTGAAGTAGTTTCTGCGTTAATTCATATACAGTGTATCCTTTGTATATTAACCTCTCTGGGACAATCACAACTGGCTCCTTAGAAAGGGATATTAAATGAAACAGTGCTCTGATTAACCATTGGATAAATCTTACCATTTTTGATAATCTTGTGTTGAATATGCTTAGTCTTTCATTGAGGAATCTAAGTTTCTGACTAGGTCCCATAATGCTCTTCTCCAGAATACCGAATACCTGTTAATAATTTCAGTTGTTTCACAGCGCTTTTAGGCACTACAATCTCTGCTAACATAGAGTATGTTATCATGTATTGTTACAGTCTTGGGCTAATATCTTTAAATATATCTTTACCTTTTAAAATAATTCTTTGGTGATACATAGGCTATTAGCCTCCACAATTCATGAAGCTGACCATTAGGAAGGAAGGGTGCTCTTTTTGAGTTTTGGTCTTTTTATAGTTGTATAACAGCACCCCTGTAAGTCAGTGACATGTGCTTCTAAATGAAGATAATTTCTAAAAGATATACATATTTAAAGATGTCCCTAAAAGGATATGGAGGGTTGGAGGGAGGATACATTTTAAATTATAAAACAAGCTAACATTTGAGAATTTTCTAGGGCCAGGCATTTCCATGTATTATCTCATTTAATTCTCACAATAACGTCATGGAGCAGTAGTACGGTTATTCCCATTTTTAAAATGGGCATCAGGAATGTTGAGTGACTTTCCAAGTATCACACAGCAGAGTGGCACAATCATAATCCAATTTGGGTCTTGCCCATATGTCACATTGCTAGTGATTACTCAAGGAAAGTGATGTACACGTGAGCAGGAAGAACATTAGAGGTGTTAAAACAAGCCTTTAAACTTCACAGAATTTTCCCTCACTGCTAGAAATCTTTATCATGAATCTCTCATCTGTCTGTGGATGAAAATGTCTAAATAACACTTCATTTTCATATAGCAAAGAATAAAAGCTAAAATATATTTCTAAAGATTGCCAAGATAAACGGAAAATAGATGCTTTAATTTCTATATTAAATGTTAAGTTTCTGTTGTGCATTTTCTTCCATTTACTGCTTCAAAAGTCACATACCAAGTAGAACCCAAAAGGAACTTTTTAAGCTCATAGTCACTGCTCTTAAAATGCTGACTGGCACATTTGTGGCCATTGAGACACTTCCCATTTTTTCTAGCTTTTAGTTGGTTTTAAATATTTATTCTGCTTAGGTTTTGTGTTTTTATTTTTTTAAGAATTGCCATTAAATAAGAATGATGGGGCTTGGCTTTCTCTCTCATTGTGGTTATTTGTAGATTGACTAAGGAGCATCTGTGTCTCACTGAAGTACGCTTCACAAATCAATACATCATTAGTCGTTGTATTATAGAATTTAAAGTCAGGCCTGGGTAATGTATTTTGGTAAATATATGGACTGGAGTGGATTTCCGGGAAGGATGAGTTTTTTTATCATGTGGGTCCTAATTCAAATGCACGTATTTGTTAACATGTAGAGCATTACTCTCTGCTGTCAGCACACAGTTCTTTGGCAGTTTGCTATTCGAGCATGTCTTCCTCTTCCAACAACAATTGTGTTCTCAAAAGGCTGGAGAGAGAGGAATTGAAAAGAAAGGCGGAGGAGGAAAGGCTTCGCCTAGAAGAAGCAGCCCGTAAGCAGGAAGAAGAAAGGAAGCAGCAGGAAGAGGAAAAGAAGCGGCAGGAAGAAGAGGAGAAAAGAAAGGCCGCAGAGGAGGCCAAGCGGAAGGCTGAGGAGGAGCTACTGTTGAAAGAAAAGCAAGAAAAGGAAAAGCAAGAACAAGAAAAGCAAGAGAAAGCCATGATTGAAAAGCAGGTACTGTATAAGTCTTCACATAGACTTTCCTTATTTGTAAGGGCCTTAATTAATATTAGGTAAAATTAAATTTTAATGACTCATAATATTGAAGTTTTTTTCTTAAATTATCTGGGATGGTTATTAAATATAAGTTGCTTGGGACAGTCACAGTGAAGTTGGTAATGTTTGCCATCTGTCAGTTTGGGTTTCTCCAGAGGGGAGACTCGAGGATAAGAATTTAGGTGCCAGTAGTTTATTTTGGGGTGAGATCCCAGGAAGTCGGCAGGGAAAAAAGCCAATGTAAGTGCATTGATGAGTGTCTTGCTGTGGACAATGGGAACTCAATCCTATTAGGACCTTCTGAGAGATTGGATCATGCCTTAGAATTCTCTCTCTGAGGGATGAGGAAACAGAACTACTTATCTACCAATTCCTGCCACTCATTGTGGAAGGTCTCTCCTTGGGTGATTAACTCCCTGAAACTTCTGGCCATATGCACACTTCGTGGCCAGAGGCTGCCCACAGACACAGAAAGGCCCTGGCCATATGTGGGAACTGTCTGCAGGTGATCTGCATGGTAGACTGAGGGTATATGAATGAGGCCCAATCATATCTGCTGCGTAATAAGAGCAGGTTGTATAAATCCACATTGAATATTGAAGCAGCATCCACTTTGGGGCATACGAGGAGATGAAGGAACACGTGCAAAGCCCAGGGAATTACTACAGCGTTTTCTTAGCTTAGTAAAGCGTGTGCCTTGATTGACCTATTTCTGTCAGAAGGAAACAACAGAAACAAAGGCCCAGGAGGCAGTTAAACAGATGCGTCTGGAAAGGGAACAGATCATGCTGCAGATTGAGCAGGAGCGACTGGAGAGGAAGAAGGTAAGGGATGAGGAAACAGGAGCACTTAGGGTAAGGCAGGAACAGGAAGTGAATCCAGTTCTATTCTGCAATGATTGGGTAGAGTGCTCTTAGAATTGTCAATTAGGTCAAGTTCATTGATAATGCTGTTCAAATCTATATCTTTATTCATCTTTTCATCATCTTGTTCTATCAGTCACTAAAAGAGGACTGTTAAAAATTCCAACTGTGATTATGGATTTTTCCATTTCTCCTTTCAGTTCTGTCAGTTTTATTTTACATATTTTGAAACCCTATTAAATGGATACACATTGCAGGTTGTTAAGTTTTTCTGTTGAATTGACCTCTTTATCATGAAATGCCCTCCTTTATCTTTAGTAATATTTCTTATCTTAAAGTCTGATTTGGCAGCATTTTATGATTAGTGTAAATCTTTTTCCATTCTTTTACTTTGAATCTCTGTGTGTTATGTGTAAGTGTGTTTCTTATAAACAGCATATAGTCAGGACTTGTTATTTTAATCCAGATGTCCTCAAACTATGGCCCTCGGGCCACATGTGGCCTGCTGGGTGTTTTTGCCGCCACTGCCTGTCCTGCTTAGCAGCCAACTCATCCTGGGCCCACAGTGCACATGTGTGGAAGGTGTGCTTCACTCTCCAACGGCCCTCCAACGGTCTGAGGGACAGCGAACTGGACCCCTGTTTAAAAAGTTTGAGGACCCCGTTTTAATCCCATTTGACAGTCCTTGTCTTTTAATTGGATTGTTTAGTCCATTTACACTTAATGTATTCATGGATACAGTTGGGTTTAAGGAGGCTTATTTTACAGGTCAATTCTCATGGTGTTCTAGGTTTGGCCTGGGAGCTGAGAGACCAGCCTCTGTAATGTTCCCTCCTGAGCTGCACTTCAGCCTTGCTTTCTGTAGGGTGGTCCTCTTTAATGATGAGTGATGATTTGTCGACTTATAGGGAACCTAAGGAGAAAGATGGGATATAAATTGAATGTTGATTCTAGATACATACTAGTTCACTTCTCAAGCATTGACTTTGTTCATAGGGCCAGAGCTGTACATCTGCAAAACCAATGGAAAACCTTTTTATACTTGTTATCCTCTGCTGACATGTGTCTTTTTTGAGTTTTCTGAGAAATGTGAAATTGCATATAGACCCAGCTGTTTTTATATGTTTTTGATCTTACAGTCCTCTCACTTGATTTCCTTTTGGTTTCCAGAGAATAGATGAAATCATGAAGAGAACAAGGAAGAGTGATGTGTCTCCAGAAGTGAAGGTAGGAATTCAGATGATCATTTTAATAGTTTATGTGCAGAACAGAAAAGAACAGCAGAATATTCAGTGAAATGGTAGGCCGTGGAGAGGTTCCTGGCTAGGTTAAGGAGGGTGTGGGTACCAGAAAGGAAAGAGGAGTTTCAGAGGTTGGGCAGGTAAAAGATTCCCTTAGAGCAGTGGGGGTGGGGATGCAGGGAGAGGCATAGCAGTCCATGAACCAAAGAGAAGAGTGACATAATAATAAGGGAAACACCACTGAGGATTCATATAATTGCCACACAACAGGAAGATGGTCCAGAAGGGCTCCAAATGTCCTTGCTTTTTAAAAGCACTTTTTTTTTATGTGCTGTTTTTCTATGTGCTGTCAGCCTTCCCTCTTTTCATTCGCCCTCTATTTGTTTTCAGAAAGAAGACCCCAAAGTGATGATTCAGCCTGCTGTGTGTGTGGAAAATAAGACAAAACCAGATGTCCCCAACAAAATAGGTGAGCGTGAGGTCCGGTTCTTGGGTTCTTCCTTTTAGCAGCGAGAGTTCATAAAACTTTCTCCCGGAGGAGAAAAACACCCGTGAGTCCCAACAGGGCTGCAGGTTCCTTGGTTGCTCCAGTAATCCCAGTGTAGGAGGCATGCTGTCTGCTGGCTCCTTCTGCTTTTCAGGGAGCTTAACTGCTGGTCAGGTTTTATCAAGACCTGACTCTTCTCTTCTATAGAGTTTCCACACAGATGCTAATAATGTAATTTGTCTTCTTTTCCCGTGTGTGGGTGATTACGTGGGGTTATTCACAGTTCTTTCCACAAAAGATGTTGTATTATTGGGGCAGCAGCAGATTAACTTAATTGCCTTGATCTAAATGTCCTGTTATTTCATTGTTTGGGATATTTTATGATTAACACGAGGACTTTGTGTTCTCGATCAGAAATCAATGGATTGAACACCTGCCAGGAAGTTAATGGTGTGGGGCGTGCTGCCCCAGAAACTTTTCCCCGAGACATTTTCTCTAATGGGCTTAAACCAGTCGGAGGACTTGTTCATCTGGATGCGCTTGATGGGAAATCAAACAGTCTGGATGATTCCACCGAAGAAGTTCAGTCTATGGATGTGAGGTATATCCGTTCCTCTTGTGTTTAAGCCTCATCTCTTCTGCAGACACAACTACTGCCTTTTAGTTAGTTTCTTCATCTTTTATACGACAAAATCACCTAAAGCTGGTTTGGTTGACATGACAGGAAAGCTGTCAGGAATATAACACCAGGTGTCTTGGGCTGGGTTCTCTAAAAGCAGAGCCTGGGACAGGAGTTTCTAGGGCATGTGATTTATTAGAAGAGGACTCTCAGGAGTTTTTCAGGAGAAAGGAGAAGGAGCGAAGCTGCTAAGCAAGGATACAGTCTCAGCTGGTCCCACAGGAGCTCTGGAGAATGAATTTCTACCAGAGCCAGCTCCTCTGAGCTTTTGCAGTTCAACTGTTTTTTTCTAGATTCTTCTCCAAGATCTCATCAAGGAAGAAAAGAAGAACCTAGCAGCAGCCTTGCTCTGGCTGTTAAGAGACTCCTGGTAGGCTGGGCGCGGTAGCTCACACCTGTAATCCTAGCATTCTGGGAGGCCAAGGTGGGCGAATTGCTCAAGGTCAGGAGTTCGAAACCAGCCTGAGTGAGACCCCGTCTCTACTAAAAATAGAAAGAAATGAATTGACCAACTAAAATCTATATATAAAAAATTAGCCGGGCATGGCGGCGCATGCCTGTAGTCCCAGCTACTTGGGAGGCTGAGGCAGGAGGATAGCTTGAGCCCAGGAGATTGAGGTTGCTGTGAGCTAGGCTGACACCATGGCACTCACTCTAGCCTGGGCAACAAAGCGAGACTCTGTCTCAAAAAATAAAAATAAAAAAATAAAAAAAAGAGAGACTCCTGGTAACAGGCCCTCAGCCCACCACTCTTCTGAGCCTGAATTTGCTCGTTGGCCAGGCCTGTAGCTGACACAACTATGAAAACTCCTTCTGTCTCTAGGGAGAAGGGGGAGAGAAAAAAGACTAGGTGTGGCTGGGCGGGAGCTGGATAAGTCAGGGTGGATTGGCAGCCTCTCTGTACAGAGAGGAAGCAGTAGGTGAGAGTCTCTGCACGTGACTAGGTGGGTGGTGGGGGGTCCCCAACCTTCACTGAGCACTTCAGGTAGCTCCATGTGAACGCTTCCCGCATGACCAGCTCACACTCCTAGGAGCCCTAGTAGGGAGAAACGATTGTTCTTCTCATTTTAAAGGGAAGGAAACTGGGGGCCACGAGGCAGGGAAAGCAGCTTGCCCAAGGTGGCATTGCTAGCAAGGCGGCAGCACCAGGAACCCCGGTGTCAATTAGGCCCTTCCTCAGCTCACTTTGAGCTTTCAGCACTTGCTTCCTGTTTGAATGTCCCATTTTGGAAGTCCTGGAATTGCCCTGCTTCTTCATAGTAGAGTGCTAGTGCCCGTGGGTTTTTTGCCTTTCATTCTTTGGGCAGCATGAGCTCGGCCATCACAGCCCTGCTCAGGCCTCTCTTCCCTGTTTTCATCTGTGAGGGCCTCATGTCCACCGTCTGTCCTCAGATTTGAGCTCACTTGTATTGTTTACAATGTGTCACACATAAACTCTGACTCTAAATCCATCTCTCTGGAAAAGCAGTATAACAAAATATTGTGAATAGAATGACTATGTTGGGCTTAGTCCTCGTATTCATTCTCTCTCGGTGTCTCTGTCTCTGCCTTTCATCTCTTCTAGTCCTGTTTCAAAAGAAGAGCTTATCTCTATCCCAGAATTTTCTCCAGTGAGTGAAATGATCCCTGGGGTGTCTCTGGACCAAAATGGAACTGGTAATGCCCGAGCGCTTCAGGATCTCCTAGATTTCACTGGGCCCCCTACGTTCCCCAAGAGATCCAGTGAGAACCTCAGCCTGGACGACTGTAACAAAAACCTCATCGAAGGATTTAACAGTCCTGGCCAAGAAACCGCTCTGGACACCTTCTGTTGACAAGTACCGCATCCCTCTAATGAAAGGTACAGTCTTTTGATGATAATCTAAATCCATAACTCTTTAACTGGATGTGTGAAGGTAGGATAGACATCACTCAGCTCCTGGATGGTCAGTTTTATTTGAAAAGTGCAAACACAGATATATTATGGTATCTACTGCAACACACACAAGAACCGAGATGAATTTCAAGTAATTCCTTCATATGCAAGACCTCAGCGGCCGTGCTCTGCCCTGTCCTGCCCCTGCCGTTTGGGGTGTTTGGATGGGAAGGTTGAAAAGCACTGGCTGAAGTTTTCACTGGGTAGCATCGTTTTTAGAGGCAAGGAGGGATGCTCTGATAGTGTTATAAGGCAGTGTTAGTAAAATGAATCCCCCAGTTTTATGGAATGGCATCCCACATTCTATCTGGAATCATTTATATATATAAATTGGGCCAAACAATTTGCTGTCCTGTTGACCCATTCTGGATGTTCCCAAAGCAGACATTGTTCTTGGATCACCCCTGAAGTAGAGAAGAACTGCACTTGGTGCCCTGAAGATTTTTCCCCCACCTTTGGCCTCTTTTCTTGCCAAAGTGCTTCTAGAAGCTATTCTCATTTGAGTAAGACTATCTATGGGTTATATGCAATCTACGTGCAGTTATGTGCACATATTTATATACACCTCACATTCGATTTGCTTCAATTTGGGGCTTGTTTTCTTTGACACAGAGTCTTGCTGTTGCCTGGGCTAGAGTGCCATGGCATCAGCCTAGCTCACAGCAACCTCAAACTTCTGGGATCAGGCAATCCTCCTGCCTCAGCCTCCCGAGTAGCTGGGACTATAGGCAAATGCCACCATGCCCAGCTAATTTTTTCTATATATATTTTTTAGTTGTCCAGATAATTTCTTTCTGTTTTTAGTAGAGATGGGGTCTGGCTCTTGCTCTTGTTCAGGTTGGTCTTGAATTCCTTACCTCAAGCTATCCTCCCACCTCGACCTTCCAGAGTGCTAGGATTACAGGCATGAGCCACCACGCCCAGCCTGGGGCTTGTTTTGGAATAATGAAAACATAATTAGAATCTGTCACCAAATCCTTTCATAACTTAATTCCAATTGCTCCTCCTGTTTTAGACTCTTAACATTTCTATATTCTCAGCATTCTCTCAGCCATTTTGTTTTTTTTTATGATACTCCACTCCTCCAACAGAAAGTCGATGCCTGAAATGATTTAGTCCAACCTTTTTATTTCTCATATGAGAAAACAGGTTGGAGAGGCCACATGGCCAAGGTCACTGTGTGTTGTCTACTTATTTCTACCTGACCTGAGCTCTTGCCTGCAGACAAGTTTAAGACTGCTTCTCTTGGTCCTCGGGTATATGGCAGGTCACTTTTAAAGTAAACTATTAATATATCCCTGGTTTGGAAGAGCAGCTGCCTTCTTGGACACTCAAAACACTAATTCACCTGAGCCTGCTACTTCCCTGACATCTACACGGTTTAGTATTTATTGAGAGGTGTCTGTTGTTGGTAGCAAACTTGACTTGATTAGCTTCCCTTCAGTTCACTTGCCTCATTATCCAGTCAGGACCAGAAAACCCACAAAACCTATGAGAGTTTTCATAGGTCCTCAGATTTATTCTTGCATCTCTAACTGAAAGAAGTGCAAAGCCCCTGTCTAAAAGAAAAAAAAAAAATCTTTCTTTTTTGAGACAGAGTCTCACTCTGTTGCCCGGGCTAGAGTGCCGTGGCGTCAGCCTAGCTCACAGCAACCTCCAACTCCTGGGCTCAAGCAATCCTCCTGCCTCAGCCTCCCAAATACCTGGGACTACAGGCATGTACCACCATGCCCGGCTAATTTTTTCTATATATTTTTAGTTGGCCAATTAATTTCTTTCTATTTTTAGTAGAGACAGGGGTCTCACTCTTGCTCAGGCTGGCTTCGAACTCCTGACCTTGAGCGATCTGCCCGCCTTGGTCTCTCAGAGTGCTAGGATTACAGACGTGAGCCACTGCACCTGGCCAAAAACAAATCTTGACTAAATCATTTCATTCACGCTGCTCGTATATTTTCATTTGTGATACAGTCGGGTTCTCAAATTGTTCTCAACCAAAGGTGGTACCACCCCAACAAGGGGGTGTTTGGAAACATGTTGGTGGTTTTTGTTGTCACAGTGGCTGGGACATTTGGAAGGCAAAGCTGGGGGCGTTAAACATCTGCAGGTTTCGGGAAAGTCCCACACAAGGAAAATTTGACCCACCTATAAGAATAGTCCTGTGCAAAATATCATAGCACTTCCGTGAGAAATACCATATGAGCCAAGGAAAATATTATTACCAAGAAGGTAGAAAGTACCACACCATGTGATCATTTTAGTGCAAGAATAGATGCTACATGCTGCAAAATACTTGGTGTTTTTCGTTGCTCTCACCTGGTTGTGTTTTTGAATTACCACAGGTGGTGTTTGGAGAACCCGTGCAGCTGCTAGTGGTCAGATCCAGGCTGCTGGCCACCTGAAGCTTCTGTCGCCCTTCACCGCTGGCTTCCAAGTTATTAGAGCAGAATGTCACTGTATTCCTAGGTAGTATGTCAAACACTGGCCACTCTTGGTAGAAACCTTGAGGCTTTCGCCTTGTTGGGCTTTAGCAAAGTTTCATTTTACAGTTCTCTTGATGAGCTTCAGCCGCTGACAAAGCACTTCCTGTACTTCTCTATTATCATAGTGACCTTCTCAATAAGCTGAGTGATTCTGGCTCGGAAATTCACTTTATAACCATTCTTATTCCCAAAGTTGGCACACATGAACATCTAGATGTCTTTTCCTGTAAAATAATCGAGACATTTACCCAATCTCTAGTTAAATATATACTCAACCTGGGCTGCATATCTCCCTGTCTTTGTTGAGAAAGAAAAGAAATTTAGGAGTCCCCCCCCCTTTCTCTGTTGGAGGGTACTATCAAGAAGCCTCTTGTTGTTATTATTAAGCTTTGCCACCTGCAAATGCATTGCCCCACGTTACTCTGTTGGGGCTAAGGCAGTAAGTTTGGTTGAGTAAGGAAGTAAAAACAGTGTGTAATGATTTGTTTTTTATGCATATTCCTGTATATGTGGGCAACTGAGTCTAGCCAGGACCCTTTCATGTCACACCTTAAAATCTCTGTACTGTAGTCACTCCAAACCATCGAGTGGCTTTCCCACTGAATGAATCTGAATCAGGTATCTCACGTGCAGGTGGCTGGTTTTCATGTTCTTGCTATTGTGTTTCTACTGGATCTTGGAAGTTTTTGTTGTTTGCTCCTATGTTTGCCCAACTGTAAGAAAACCAGGCACAAATGAAAATCATGGTGCTCTGGGGCAAAGGGGCTCCAAATTGGACCCAGTATGTCACTTTATAAGGCTTTAACATAAAAAAAAAAATTGAAGGGGGGACAAAATGACACTAGAATGTATACTTCACACGTTTTATGCCATATAATGGTGTGTTTTCTTAATTTTGTCTCGTGGCAAAATGTGACTTTTAGATTAAAATAACCTTTTCTTCTTTGACACTTTTTGTTTTGACTTGTACAATTAAGGGCTTAGAAAGTTCCATAATTCTGAGAGAGGTTTGCAACCAGGAGATATAAAGAAGTCTCAATAGTAATCTTGTTCATGTGCTTTTAAAGCCAGCTACACTTTAAGAATTTATTAGTTATGGAAACTGTGTATGTGTATGTGTATATACTAAATAAAATATATGCCTCCAAATAATGCAGTGCCATTGATCTTGATGAACAGCAGGGGGGAAATCCCTTTTGTGACAAGCACACAAAAAATGATAGCATGGTCTGACTTTGAAAAAAAATGCCTTGTCATCTTTCTTATAGCTTTATTTTGCTAAATGTCTGTTTTGTGATCTGTTTTCCCTCACAGCACCATTGTGACCATGCTGATACCTCGTTTGCATGACGTGTACATTGTGTTTAATGTGAAATACATTTTCATTGAAGAGTCCGGCGGCTTGCTTAGTGCTTTGTTTGTTTCTGTGAGCTCAATGAAGAAATGTGCTGAAACCAAATTTTTTAAAACGCATGTGGAAGAAAGCCCCCAAATCCTGTGTGAGTGTGGGTGTCCTTTCCCTATGAAACTTGTTAAAAATTCCTGTTATTAGTGCCAAATGGAGCCAACTGTGTAAATAAGCCTATCAAGTGATGGACTGTCCTGAAACATGATGAACTTCTGAGTATAGTAACATTGCTGTACTTTCATACCACTAATGCAAGGGATTGCTGGCTGGCTAAGACAGGTAACCTTACTGTAATCTACAAGAACATTGCACATAGCTTTTTTTTTTTTTGGCATCTAACTCACGGGCTTGTTCACTACCCAGGAGACAGTAGCAGGCCAGACAAGGAGCCACGTGAGCAGGACTAGAATTAGGAACCGAGGGCCCAGTCATTGTTGCCCTCCTCAGCTCTGCTGACAAAACTTCTGGTCAGGGCACAGGAGCAGGTACTGTTTCCACATGCAGGCCTCGGACAGGGGCATTAGAAGTAGCTTACGTTATGAGCTCCGGCTATAGCGCCTACATTGGTGGCCAGTCATTCCTAAGAATAATGTCTAGTTTGTGGACATTGCGAATTTTTTTGTAGTATATACAGGTTTCCTATTAGTCGAAGGCTTTTGTAAACTAAAATTTAAAAAATTATTTATTTATTTTTAGGGATAGGATTTCTGCTCTGTTGCCCAGGCTGGAGTGCAGTGGCATCATCATAGCTCACTGCAGCCTCAAACTCCTGTGCTCAAGCAGTCCTCCTACCTCAGCCTCCCAAGTAGCTGGGACTATCAGCATGTGCCACCACACCTGGCTAATTTTTCTATTTTTTTGTAGAGATGGGATCTTGCTGTGTTTCCCAGGCTGATCTTTAACTCCTGGCCTCAAGCAATCCTCCCACCTTTGCCTCCCAAAGTGCTGGGATTACAGGCATGAGCCACTGTGCCCAGCCTGTAAACTAATTTTAGAAAGCAAACGTAAGGAACTAATTTGTTTCTAGAAGTATACCCATTACATTGGGGCACAGCACAGGGTAACCTTCATCCTCATTCTTTGGCATTGTTCAGGAAGTGCAATTATGTAAGAAAATGAAGTGAGAACATAATTAGAAGCAGTAGAAATGAGAAGCAGGTACTCTTTTTTTCAGGAAACCCAGGAGTAACAACTGAGAAACTGTTAGAATAATTTCACATGGGGGACAACTATCAAAAATCAATAGTTTTCTTACATATTAACAATAAACAGGAAATAGATTTCCCCCAAAAAACCATAAAATTCCTAAAAATAACAAACTAGAACTTGATCAAGGAATGTTAGAATAGAATAGGGGTGAATGGAAAGACATGTCATGACTCTGAATGGGAAAACCAGGACCTAGGCATATGAAGAAAGCTAATGGTAGGTGGCATTCACATTTGTACCAATCAATGGGATTTCTTTTTGTCAACTTGAAAATATAACTGTACAGTTCATTGAAGTAAATGAACACAAAGCTAAGAAACTTACGAGTTTTTAAAAAGGGTGAATTTCCCCCAACACATAGTAAAATATATAAAACTTCCATACCCTAGTGTATTCTGATAGAAAACTAGAATTTGGAATAGCGCTAGAGATCAGAAATAAGAGTTTAATGTATGATGGCGCTGCAGTGGGGAGCCATTTGTGCCTGTAGAAAGGTAGCAGGTCTCCTGAGTGTCAACTGAGTTGAGCATCTCTGATGGGGTGAGGGATAAGGGCCCGGAAGTCACAGTGAGGAAAGACAACAGAGGGATCCAAGGTGTGGGTACCAATTAGGGTTCAAGGTTTAAGTCAGGAACAAAACTTAGATGCATGGCTTGGGAGCAGCTTCTAAAGACCCTGAACTGCCAGGTGCCCCTGGGACATGCCAGGCTCTCAGGCGGTGAGGAGCAGCGGGCCTCTGCTTGTGCTCCAGGCTCCTGCGGAAGTGGACCACACTGACAGCACGTGCTGAGTCCCTCCTGTACTCGAGATGGCTCGAAAACTTCTCCATGCTATGATGTGGGTATGAGGGGGTAACTTGCCCAAGGACACCCAGCTGGAACTTGGCAGAGCTGGCTTTCATTCCAGGGCCCCAGCTTTGATACCCCCAGGGGAGGTTAACAGGCTGTTCTGCCCCCAAGAGCAGCAAAGATGTTTTGCTAGAGCGGGTGCTTATAGCAAGTAGCAATGGGAATCCTAGCTCTGAACGTGTCTTTTTTTTCTTAATTATTGAGATATAATTAGGCCGGGCACGGTGGCTCATGCCTGTAATCCTAGCACTCTCGGAGGCCGAGGTGGGAGGATCACTCAAGGTCAGGAGTTCGAAAACAGCCTGAGCAAGAGCAAGACCCCGTTTCTACTAAAAAAAATAGAAAATTAATTGGTCAACTCAAAATATATAGAAAAAATTAGCCAGGCATGGTGGCACATGCCTGTAGTCCCAGCTACTCTGGAGGCTGAGGCAGGAGAATCGCTTGAGCCCAGGAGTTTGAGGTTGCTGTGAGCTAGGCTGATGCTACAGCACTCTAGTCTGGGCAACAGAGTGAGACTGTCTCAAAAAAAAAAAAAAAGATATAATTTACAGACCATAAAATTCACCCTTTTAAAAGTACAGAACTCAATAGTCTCTAGTATATTCACAAATTTGTGCAACCATTGCCACCAATTCTAGAACATTTTTATCTGAGTGCTTTTTCAGAGGCTTGTTATGCATTCATCTGCTCAAAGCAGCAGAATTTCGCTTTATCAACCATTAGTTCAAGTTCTCATTGTACCTGAAAGCAAGAACATGGGATTTGAAAATAGTATTATTCTCTGAAGCACTCACTTCCCCTTCTCCCATTTCCAGTAGGCCCAATTAGGGCGATGTTTACGTAACAGTTCATGTGGGCTGTTTTGTGTTATTCCACACTCACCACATAAATATGGGATCAAATGCCAAACACTGGCTCACCAGATGCCCAGCTTGAGCTTCCTAGGGCAAAGACAGACATGGATTGGGTGAAAGTGTAATTTAAAACACTCTGAAAGTCCTGAACCTTTGCAGACTCGCCTTTAACAGTGACCATGGAATCAGGTATGGGGTGACTTACACTGTGACTCTACTTGCCCTTGTGTTTCTGGGACAGATCACCCATGGTAACCACTAGGGAGGGAGTGTTTCAGTGCCCTCTTTTGTCCCCCTAAGGTCCAGGTAAGGGTCCAAGGCAATTAATGAGGACACACTGCACTGTGGAAAGAAACCGCTTTCCACTCAGAGCCCAAGAGCCACCTTGCAAAAGGCAGAGGGAGTGGAAAGCTTCAGATGGTGCACCTGGACAATTCACTCCCCTCCGCCTCCCTTCGTGCTCTTCAGTAAATAAGCAAGAGCCTCCTGCCAAGGTTTGTGTGCCGCAGTTAAGAAATGTCACCGTTCAACTGGCACCTAGGGATTGGTGGGCGGGTAGCAGAGAGTCTAAAGCTGTCAGCCTTCTGGACGTCCAAGAAATGATTAAAGCAAGTTTTCCCGTCTCACTTTATCTCGGGAACTGCAGAGTGCAAGGAATAACGTCCCAAGGAATTGAACCTTTGCATAAAGTAACTTCTTTTTGGAATTAGAGCCAGAAGCCCTCTGTTGGCTGTACTTGTTTTAATCACATTTTCCTATCAGTGTGTGTAGGCTGATCTTTGAAACAGCAGGAAAGTTGTCCACACAGATGTGATAAGTAGGACAGGACTGTGTCACCCACGGTAGACGTGCGTAAAGCTTGTTGCATTGAATTCCGTCACCACAGAGGGACCCATGGGTGGTTTTAGGACAAACTGAAGCTCACTAGTCCGACTGGGAGAACAGAATAAATCCCATTTGTTCAATGGATCTGGTCTTCTGAAAAGTTCTCAGGACCCGCCCTGTGCGGTGACAGCCCTGGTGGCTAGTATAAGATGTTCAGTGTTCACCCACGGTGAGAAATAATCCAGAATGTGGAAGGCAAAAGATAACTGTGTGTCCTTTCCAAGCCCCTCTAGAGCCCTGTCTTAACAAGATGCCCATGTCAGCTGAGTCTCTGAGGATGAAACTTCATGTGACTTGCTATATGCCATCGATTAGCACCCAGTCTCTGGAGTTAGATGTTCACTTGGAGACAGAGAGTAGAAGATGATTTTTGCCCTGTAGAAAAGATAATGCCGGCCGGGCGCAGTGGCTCACACCTGTGATCCTAGCACTCTGGGAGGCTGAGGTGGGCAGATTGCTCGAGGTCAGGAGTTCGAAACCAGCCTGAGCAAGAGCGAGACCCCGTCTCTACTATAAATAGAAAGAAATTAATTGGCCAACTAATATATATAGAAAAAATTAGCCGGGCATGGTGGTGCATGCCTGTAGTCCCAGCTACTCGGGAGGCTGAGGCAGCAGGATCGCTTGAGCCCAGGAGTTTGAGGTTGCTGTGAACTAGGCTGACGCCACGGCACTCACTCTAGCCTGGACAACAAAGTGAAAAAAAAAAAAAAAAAAAAAACAATACCAAAGGTTATGCCTATTTGTCCCTGTAGGACACTAAAAAACTTTGTCTCTAACTTTGTGATCGTATTCCAGCATTCTCTTTTCCCACTAAATATGTGTATGTGCATGTGTGTATATAGACATACATGTGTGTATGATAATCAGTCCTCCTCTCCTCCTGTGAACCAGCTTTGTCATCCTGCTCCTTAATGAGTTAAATACATTTTTGACACATGCTCATTGTATATTTATATCAGAATCATGTTTTTAACCTTTGGGAAGTTATACTTTGGCAATGATGAAGCCTTAAGTCAAGAGTCCTCAAGCTTTTTAAACAGGGGGCCAGTTCACTGTCCCTCAGACCGTTGGAGAGTGCGCACTGTGGTCCGGGTTGAGTCGGCTGCTAAGCAGGACAGGCAGCAGCAGCAAAAACACCCAGAGGGCCAGATAAATGTCCTCTGCAGGTGGCATGTGGCCCACGGGCTGTAGTTTGAGGACGCCTGCCTTAAGTCCTCAGCAAGATTTGGGAAACTTTAAATAGCTATACTAATGGCTTCAAAAGTTCATATTAAGGCTGGACACAGTGGCTCATGTCTATAATCCCAGCTCTTTGGGAGGTGGAGGCAGGAGGATCACTTGAGGCCACAAGTTCAAGACCAGCCTGGGTGACATAGCAAGACCCCATCTCTACAAAAAAGTTTTTTAATTAGCTGGCCGTGGTGGCATGTACCTGTAGTCCCAGCTACTCAGAAGGTTGAGACAGGAGGATCATTTGAGCCCAGAAGTTCGAGGCTGCAATGAGCTATGATGGTGCCACTGCACTCCTGCCTGGGCAACAGAGTGAGGCCATTTCACTTTGGCCCCTAAGTGACACAAACCACTTCCACTCACATTTCATCAGCAAGAACTAGTCACATGGCCTCATTTAGATGCAAGGGATACTGAGAAGCACCGTCCCTGGCTGGTTTGCTTCTTACCAGAGAGACTGCTATACTATGGAGGGTAGAGCACAAGTACTTTGGTGGATAGTTAGTTATTTCTGCCATGCTATGATTGGCTTAGATCAGGGCCGTCCAGTAGGAATATAATGTGAGTCACATATGGCATTTTCCATGCTGTAGTAGGGGACCTGGGGAGGAGGGAGGGGTGGTAAATGTTTTTCCTTGTATTATTATAAAACCTACCTCAGGATCCATTATGTTCTGTTTCCCTACCAGTCCAAGGGAGAGTGGGAATTACAGTGAAAAGTTAGGAAGAGACCATGGAGTACTTAATAAATGCGGAGGTGAACAAAGCAAATTCATCAGCTAAATGAAATTTTGGGGTGCTGAATGACTTTTGAATTGGTTTTGGAGTTGTGCCAGGACACAAAGACAGACTGCGTATGGAAGAGACATGTGAACAGAATCTATCAAAAATTTGGGGAAAGAGCTTCTAAGAAGGGGAAGCCCTGACCATTCAAATAAGGGGAGTAACAAACTTAAAAACATTTTTGCAATAAAATTAACTTTTAAACCTAAGTCGTTGGTCCTTTTTGCTTTGCATCCATGTAGGTAGTTCCCAGCAAAAATTTTTCAAAATAATGGCTGAGTTGTGAGACATTGTTTTAAAACCACAAATATTATGACTTTCAGAACCAGAGCCAAGCCTCTACACATACTATATCACAAAAGAGTTCATCGGAAATAATTTATGGGACCAGAAGGCTGGTAGCAGCGACCAAATTTTGTTTAGAAATTTGTCCTCCATCTCAGAAGGAAAACAAACATAAAGGCAGTGACTAGAATGAGCAAAGAGGAACCTGCAGCATAAGACTGTCTAAAAACATCTTCGTCCAAACAATATAAATCATTTCTGTCTGCTCTCTGCTGTTGACAAAGCCATTAAAAAAGCAAAGGTAAAGAAAGGACAGCAGCCACAAAAAATGCCAATATCCTAGGACAGAAGGCAAGGCAAGGAGCAGGACACAGGGCCAGCTAAGCGTTGCGTGTCACGTTTCATTAATAGCACTATGTCACACAACCCAAATTAAATAGGTAAGGCAAGAAAAAGGTCACCTGCTTGTGTCAGTCCTGGGATATAAGCGCTAATGGAGATGCATGCAGCACAATGCGAACTATAGAACTATAGGCTATACAAAACCTCTGGGGAAAGTCTGGGCAACAGTGTTTTCCAGGGATGAGAAAGCTATTTGTCCTACTACTTCATCATTTTCTTTTTCTCACATCAGCATTTAAAAAAGAAAGCTACACAGAAGGGTGGCAGGAGAACATGGCATGGTAGCTGGTAGGTTTTCCCAGAAGCTGCCTTTCTCCAAAGAATGACAATGGCAGTAGACATTTTGTCTAAGTCTGTAACAAAGCCTGAATCGCTCTTTTAAAACAAAGTGACATTTTTTTTTCTGGTTTAAGAATTGGAAAACTACCCTGAATTTCACCAAACCTCTGTGTTCATGTTGTGGTTTGCAGGGAGTGCAAGTGACAGAGCAGGCTGGATCAGAATCACCGAGAGGCCTGCTGAAACACAGTTTGCTGGCCCACAGTCCCATGGCTTCTGGTTTGGTAGATTTAAGCAGAGGCTTTACTACCTAGCACATGGTCCCTCCTTTGCTCGTTTTCTTCTGATATGACACCAGTAAGGGCTCTGAAAGGGTTTATTCCTTCAGTCTGGGTTCCAGACAGAAGAGCCAAAGCTCACTCAATGAATATGCAATGTAAGTGAGCATTAAACATTCATTGTTATGAGCCACTGAGATTTGGGGATTGTTATTGTAGCATAACTTATTCTTACTAATACAGACTCGGCATAGTTGGCATTTTGCAGCAGATTGGGCTTCATATGAAAACCAAAGATAAGGAAAGAAATGGAAAGGCACATAATATTCCACCTCTCTTAGGCTTGTTCTGTGTACATGTGCATGTGTGCTATTCATGTAGACACCCAGAGCTGGGTGCAAACTGTTTAACCTCTTTGTCCACACAAGTGGATGGCAAATAGGGCCAAGGGCCATCTACTTGTGCTGTTAACCAGCCATGAGTCTGGACAAAGACCACCTGTTCAAAGATAAGTAAAAAGAAATACACACACATACATACATACATACACACATGCAGATACATATACACACACACATATATATCTATGTGTGTACATATATATGTGATATATATATACACACACACGATACATATCTATATATTAATATATCACGAAGTACACAAAAACCAACCATGGAAGAGAAAGAAGAGCATACTTCTGAAAAGGATTGACTACAGAATCTAAAAGAAAAATGTTATGACTAGTTTAACATCCCTTTGAAATATGATAGGTTTTCTATAAAATCAGAACAGAAATTCACAAGGAAATGAAAGGATGAGATGGAGGTCAATAGGGTGATGAGAGAAAGGAAGGAGGAAGGATACAAAGAAACAAAAATCTCAATAATAAAATGTGAGAGCAGAAATAGTGCTTTGGGAAGCCACATCAGTATCAATGTAGCAAACTTGAGGTCTACTGGAATGCTGGAAAAGGATACAGAGATGACAGTGATAAAACAGAGAACTACCACAGAAAATTGCTCTTCCTAATAAAGAGATCAGAGCAAATGGAGCAGAAACAATTCTTGAAAATAGACTGGAAGAAAACCTACCTGAATTGAAGCCATATATATGCAGATAAAAAGGACTCACACCTCTCAGCCAGAAAGAAAAAGCTTTATTTTTACATTGCAAAAACTTCAGTTTGGCCAGAGCATTGGGTATGAGGGCAAATCTGAAGAGAGGTAAGTGTGGACCAGATAATGAAAACCTTATATGCTGTGTGGAAGATTCTTCTCTGCAAAACAGGAAGCAAAGTCATGTATGAAAAGAGGAAAATGATCATTGATATAAGGCTTAAAAGAGTGGCCAGGGTTCATAATAGCAGTTATTGGAAAAGAGAGAGATCACATAAAAGGGTCACATAAACTGATTACGAAGAGGTACCAGGCTCTCAACTGTGGGGGGGGGTGTCCACAAATCTGTAGTGGCATCATTCTTTTATAGTTGTGTGGCTTTCCTCCCCAAGCAATGTTTGGAAACACAGATGTAAGGATGGAAAATGCAGATAACTGGAGTGTTTTAAGATGGTGGTTTGATGTTAGGATGTGTCAGAGAGCAAGACAGAGGTCTCTGCTTACAAGAGTGGTTGAAGTCAAAAGGCCATGGGTTTGAGTTGGGTAAGAGGTTCATGGGACTAAGGGAGAAGTAGTACAGCAAGGGTGAGGATTGTGGGCCCAAATAAATGGCATTTTGAAATTTTAAGATTTTAGAGATGGAGCAATGTAAGGTGAAGAAAGTCTAGATCTTAACTATGAGCCTGGGAATGGGTGGACAAAATGCAGGTATAGGTCATCTTTGTTGAGGAACTTAAGGAAACATGGCTCAGTCATGGATGTTGGATTCATTGGCAGTAAGTCAGGTGGAGAGGAAAACTAATGCCAGGCAGTCAGGAGGTGACAGTGACAAGGGGGGGGTAAAAGGTGATACTACCAGATGACATGGACTCTGAAATAGATATCTTGCAAGGGGAAGAAAGAATATGTGTCAAGTGGAAAACTTCAAGAATGAAGAAGACATGCTACCTTTGGGGCTGGTGGATGTATGTGGGAGGAGAGAAATAAAGAGGGTAGACAAAGATGAAGCAGGATTTTGAATTGGATGGTGGACTGATGTTGGTACCATCAACCTATTTGGGAAGTCTAGAAGGGAGGTTTTGTTTTCTGTGTGAAAGCTTCATTTGAGGCCATAGGGGACGGCTAGAGGTTAGGGGAATGGTTAGAGACCGAGTAGGCAAGGAGAGAGGCCACAGAGGAGCAGGTTCAGGTGAGTTGGCTCTGGAAGGACTTTGAGGGCCAACTCAGGGGTTGGAAGACCGAGGCCCATGTGCTCTGCCGCCACCTCTATCTCCTGGTGCACCCATCAGCACAAAGCTGGGAGGCCCACGGGACCAAACTCCTGCCACTGACTGAGGGGCGACCTCCAATTCCTGACCCTCAATCCTCAGAACTCCTGAACTTGGAACGCCCAGGTAGTTCCTTCCTCCCCAGCGAGAGGGCGGCAGAGGGCGCAGGCGCTCTAGCTGGACCGGGCGGGCGGGTGGCAGAGGGCGCAGGCGCCCTGGACAGAGCGGCCGCGGTGGGAACGGCCGGCAGAGGGCGCAGGCGCTCTGGCCAGAGCGGCCCGGGCGGGGCATCCTCGCTGAGAGAGTAGAGGACAGGGGTCGGCTGGAGAGCGGACTCAGCTCGAGGCCGCAGACAGTGGGCGGGGCCAGTGTGGGGGCGGGGCGAGGCGGTTCCGGAAGGAAGTGGTTCCGGGTCTCGCGGCCCGACCGAGGTAGTTGCGGTGCCGCTGCCGTTGTAGGCGGTGGCCGTGAGAGGGGCGAGGCCCGAGGGGCCGGCGGCGGCGGTGGCGGCGGCGGCGGGGACTTCCCGGCCGGGTGAGCTGCATGGGGTGGGGGCGGGGCGAGGAGGCCCTGGCCCGCAGGGAGGGCGTGTCTGCCGCCCGGGAGGGGCGGTTCTCGGGGCGGCCGATGGGGCCGCGGGGAGGATGCGGCGGTCCGACTCGAGTTCCCGGGGGACAGCTCCCCTGCGCTGCTCAGGTCTCTCGGCCACCGCCTTCTTTTGGGCGCGGCGGCCTGGCTCTGGCTCCTGGGGGACAGCTCTGCTGTGGCGCTCAGGCCACTCGGCTCGGCGACCCAGGCACCTGCTGCCACGACCCCGATCCTCCGCCGTTGTCGGGGATGCTGCCATCCCCGCAGTTCTGAGCGTTTGTCATGGGGGCAGGGGGAGGCGGTGTCCAGAGACGGTGCCCTTGTTACCGAGGCAGCCCCGGACGCAGCCCCGGACGCGTCGCCTGCGGGACCTGAGCCGAGGAGCCCCCCCGCTTTGTCCTCCTGGTGGGGTGCTCCTGCTGCTTAGCGGCATCTTCCTCTGGTAACGTTGAGAATGAGTAGTGAAGGCTGCTCTTTATCCTGCTCTGCAAGGTAAAACTTGTCTTTTTAGAAACGTATACTGGAAATTGGCGCATCTCATGTGCTTCTCTAAGATGTATTAGGAAACTGGGCCAGTCACTGTCAGGACTGTCCTGTCGGTAGGTTGCAAGGGAAAGAAATGGGAGAGAAACTTACTCCCCTAAATATTTTCCTACCGAGGTGCTTTTCGAGTTGCCTCTTAGGTAATTGCTTTTCTTTTCTGGAACAAATTAGGAACTACAGGTAGAAATCAGGAAAGTCTCTTAGGCTTCTGGCCAGGCAACCTTTTATAGCATTTTTCTAAATGCGAACAGATTAGAAGGAAAGACTGACATTTGAAAAGGTTTTTGCTATGGATTCATAATGAGTGCTTTATTTTTCAGTGGTATTTTAATGGTAATGGTATAATGCTTTATTTTTAACGGTCTTTTAAAAAACGGCTACTAAAATTGTCTCTTGAAATAACCACTGTTTTATTCACAGCCTCTCCCAAGGAAACTTTAAAAGTCTTATTAGAAACATTTAGTAAGCCATTTATATACAAAATTCTAAGATATACAAATCGTAATGAAGATACACTGTTTTATCACTCCACGTAACCATTGTGAATATGGTTGTACACCTCCAGTCTTTTTCTATGCAGAGATGAATACGTGGATTTTTCTAAAGTGAATTCTCTTTTATAACCACTTTTTTCCTGACTATGTATCATGCCATTATATGATTGTAATAATTTATTTATTTGATTGTTCCCAGTTTTCCCTAAACACATTATTATATAAATGTAAAGTCTGCATGTCCATGATTACTTCCTTAGTGTATATTCCTAGATGATGGACTTGTTGGGCAGAGTATGCACATAAGGATTTTTTTTTTTATGTGAATTGCTCAATTTCCCTCTGGAAAGGATATGCTGTTTTGCACTCCTACTAACAATCTGTGAGTGTCCTTACCCACACCCTAGCAAAAGGCAACATTTAAAAGATTTCTATAGGAACACATTTGGGCTATACTTATACTCTCCAACCAAGTATAAGTATCCTTCTCTAGTTATCACTTTTTTTCTTATGCTGATAGCAGTTCAGTTTCTTATCTTTTATTGCACCTTTACCAGTTTAGTAAAGAGAGGTTATCTGGGAGAGGCAAAGGCATAGTAGCCTGGGAGAGGCAAAGGCATAGTAGAGTGGACAAAAGATTCGAAGTCAGGACGTCCTTAAAATCCAGTATATCTTATTATTTTGAACAAGTCCCTTAACTTTTCTAAGGTACAGTTTTCTCAGCTATGAACTAGAGATTATGATGCATTTGCCTTACCTTTCCTACAGGGTGGTTTTAAGGGTCAAATGAGACATTTCTGGCAAGTACATTTAGACATACTTTGTCTCATTGCTATTGCCATCTTGTAAAAATTTCAGAGCACAGAAGCATCTTGAAGTTAGTACATTTTAAAAGTCAATATTAGAAAAGCTATTCTATGATACCTTTTGATCCCACACTCTTTTACTCTCTAAATTTGAAGTTCTATACTGCTGCTCTAGGTTATGTTCAAAACAATATCAGAATTATGAAATTAGGTGAATGAATGAATCTGCACAAATGTTGAAGGAGAAAATATTTAAAGGCTCTATATAAAGCTGAGGGGGACAGATATAAAGCTAAATAAAACATAATCCTTGGACTCATGATAAATAAAACATAGTTTTTGTGCCCTACAGGTTATGCTGTCTAGGAAGCTAAAGGGCATAAAAGCTGCTTTCCAGATTTAGACAGCAATTTTAGATGTGATGCAGAATGTCAACTATTCTTGAATGTGTGAAAACCCAATTCTGCTGACCAAACATCTGAGCAAGTGACTGGGCAGTCTCCACAGGGTCATCTTTCTGAAGGTAGGAGTTGCAAGGTGATGAAATATTAGTATTGGAGTCCAAGAACCTAGATTCTAGTTTCAAGTCTTCCACTTGGGGCAGATGGGTTAACCTTTCTGAGATTTAGTTTCTTCACGTATGAAATGGAGAAAATTCCAGCTTCCTCAAGTGCTTGTTGTGAGGATTATATGAGATAATATGTGTAAAATACGTAGTAAACCAGAAAGTACTGCCATTCATGTGATTATTCTTACCCACTAGAGACTTAGCCTCTCTGGGAAAGAAACTAGGTCTTTTCCAACTTTGTATTCCTAGCCCCTGGCAATCACTAGCACTTAGTAATATTTACTAAATAACATAGAATGTGACCACTGATAAAAATTAACTTTAGACTAATGAAGAAAGTAATATGTAAATATGTAATAGTGGGAGAAAATGACTACATTATTTGGAGTTAATATTAAGGAATTGAAGGAAACATAGCACTAATTGGACCTGGACTAATCTCTACTATGATAGTCATTCTTCTTTAGATCCCTAATGCCAGGCAAATAGTCCCTCCTTATCAAGAATAAACCTCCTCCCTAGAACCCTAATCACCCTGCCACTACCCAGTTTCTCTCCTCCCTTTTCCAGCCAGACTATTTCAAAGAGTTGTTAATAATTGGCTTTCTCAGTCTCCTGACCATCCATTTAGTCCTCAAGCCATGTGTTAACTACTTTTCATTCCTTTTATTTAATCTCTGCGCAGCATTTGCAATGGAAGTCTCCCTTTTTGAAATATCCTTCGTTAGTCTCTGAGATTCTACTTTCTAGGGTTCCCTTATTCCTCATACAGAGTTCCTACTCAGTCTTTCTTTTACTGGTTCCTCTTCTTCCAAAGGTTGATGTTCCTGCAGGCTTGATTTTTCATGTGCTATACTGTCTATGGAATAATTTATAGAGCATTGAGGCTGTCTGGTGTTTCAAGGTTTGGTAGAATTCCCTATGAAACCATCTGGGCCTGATGCTTTTTCATATGATATTTCTTTCATAACTTTCTCTGTTTTTTCTATGGAAATTGGTCTATCTAAGCTTTCTAACTCTAATGGAGTAAATTTTGGTCATCTGTATTTTTCTAGCAGATTATCTCCATTTGGGTTTTCAAATTTATTTGGTAGAGGTCTACAAAGTAATCTTTTATGATTTTAAAAAAACTTTCTTTTATTTCAACTGTTATTTCTTTCATAGCATTTCTCATTTTGTATATTCATGCTTTCTCTCTTTTTTCTTAATCAAGTTATCTAGTTGTTTATTTTGTTCATTTTTTCAAATACTACAGAATTTTGAATTATTAATTAGATCTATTTTTCTATTTTCTTCCTTATTCTCTTCCTCTATTTTTATATTATTTCCTTCCATGGCCTTTCTTTTGGTTTGATTTGTTGTTTTTAAGGTTTTTTGACTTTGGGAACAAATTCATTTATTTTTATTCTTTCTTTTTTACTGATAAAGATATTTAGTATAATGAATTTTCCTCTGATCACTGCTTTAAATACATCCCATAGAATCTGATATGTAGTGTTTTCATTGTCATTGTTTCTTTAAAAATCTATAATTTCAGTTATAGAATACCCAGGAGTTGTTTAGCAGGAAGGTTTTAAATTTCTAGGTGGAAGGGCCTTTCTGTTTTTTAATTTTTATTAGTAAATTCTAGTTTTATTGCATTATAATCAGACAGTATTATTTGTAATATTTCCACTTTATGGAAGTTATTGGTATTTGTGACCTAATATATGATTGTTTTGGTGAATGTGGTATGGGCACTTGAAACTGTATTCTCTAGTATCAGGGTATAGAGTTTAATAAATATCCATACGATTTACTCTGTTGATTATGTTGTTTAGATCTTCTGTCTCCTTATTTTTGGTTCACTTAATATGTCTTGTACCGAGAGTGGTGTGTTAAAGTCTCCTACTATTAATGTGTTTCTTTCTTTTTTTTTTTTTTTTTTTGACATATTTTTTAGAGATGGGGCTTGCTTTGTTGCTCAGGCTGGAGTAGAGTGGTATGATCACAGCTCACTTCAGCCTTGAGCTCCTGGGCACAAGCAATCTTCCCACCTCACTCTCTCGGGTAGTTGGGACACTACAGGCATGCACCATCACTCCTGGCTAATTTTTTTATTTTTTGTAGAGATGGGGTCTTGCTATGTTGCCCAGGCTGGTGTCCAACTCCTGGCCTCAAGCAATCCTCCTGCCTTGGCCTTCCAAAGTGCTGGGATTACAGGTGTGAACCACTGTGCCTGAACCTTCTTAGTGTGTTTCTATCTATGCTTCCTCACATCTCTTGTAGTTTTTGTTCTATAAAGATGATTGCTATATTATATTCATATAAATATGTATGTTTATATGTGTTATATCTTTATTGTGGAATGTGTCTTTTAGCATTAAAAAGTTTCTGTCTTCTGTGTCACAGTTAATGCTTTAGGACATGAATTCTGCTTTGCCTGACAGTAGGATTGCGAACCCTGCTCTCTTTTTGTTTCTATTTGCCTGGTATATTTTGTCCAACCTTTTATGTTTAGCCTTTCGGAATCATTTTGTTTTAGATGTGTCTTTTATAAAATTTCTTGAGTTTTGTTTTGTGAGCCAAATTGAAACTTTTTGTTGCAATAGGTGTGTTAAGCCCATTCACGTTTATTGTTAGAAGTGATATATTTGGCCTCAACCCTATCATGTTTTATAATTATGTATATTTTGTTATACTTGCCATTCCTTTCTTGATGAGAGGTATATATTTTGCTCTTTTATTTAAAAAAAATTGAGGGCATGTGTGGGTATTTAGGAAGGTTTGTATTTTTGTTCTAATCATTTACCTTTGTACTTACTCTTTTTAAAATGACCTTACGTCTCCATCTGCTTATTTATCTTTGTGTGTGTGAGAGAAACACATTGCATCCATGCAGTAAAAATAGGATAATGATAGATACAGGTGGGGTTCTGTATCAACTCCCCTCTCTTCCTTACGAAGAACTGCCAATAACACCTCGCTGCTATGGCCAAGAGAATAATCCATGCTTGGTCTCCTTGTGGCTGGCTTTCTTCTTCTCTCTGATCTGCTATCACTTTCTTGTTCTGTGGACTCTGACTTGGTGCAGTTCTGTGATGGGAGTGTTGCTTCTTTGTTGGAAAGGCTTTCCTGGGAAATTATTATTCTTTGAATTTGTGAATGCTGAATTTACATTTAGTGGGGAATCTCTGTAAGTTGATCTTATTTTTTTTGTAACAGCTTTATTGAGATAAAATTAACACACCACACAATTCACCCATGTAAAGTATACAATTCAATGATTTTTAGTATATTCATAGAGTTGTTAAGTACCACGGTCTAATTTTAGGACATTTTCTTCATCCCAAAAAGAAACCTCTTGCTCATTAGCCATCACTCCCCATCCCCCTCACAGCCTTTCCTCCGTGCAAGCAACCACCAGTGTACTTTCTATGGATTTGCCTATTCTGGACATTTCACATAAATGGGATCATACAATATGTGGTCTTTTGTGACTGGGTTCTTTTACTTAGCATACTATTTTCAAAATTCATCCATGTTGCGGCATCCTTCCTTTGACCATAATCCTTTATTGTGGTCAAATGATATATATTCCTTTGTATGGGTATATTACATTTTGTTCATTTGCTCTTCTCTCAGTGCACATTTGGGTTGCTTCCACCTGTTGGCTATTATGAATAATGATCCTGTGAACATTTTTGTACAGGTTTTTGTGTGGACATATGTTTTCATTCATCTTGGGCCTATATCCAGGAGTGGAATAGTTGAGTCATATGGTAATTCCATGTTTAACTTTTTGAAGAACTGCCAAACTTTTCCAAAGTGGCTGCACCATTTTATATTCCTACCAGCAGCGTATGAAGATTCCAATATCTCTACATCTTTGAAACACTTATATTGTCTGTTTTTTTTTATTATAGCTGTCCTTATTGATGTGAAGTGCTTTAATTTGCATTTCCCTAATAATTACCAATGTTTTGTGCTTATTGGCCATTTGTATATCTTCTTTGGAGAAAGGTGTGTTCATCTTCTTTGTCTATTTTTAAATTTGCTTAATTGTCTGTATATTATTGAGTTGTAAAAGTTCTTTATATAATCCTTTATGAGATAAATGACTTGCAAACAATTTTCTCCCATTCTATGGATTGTTTTTTCACTTTTTTGGTGGCATCCTTTTCTTTTCTCTTTCTCTTTTTTTTTTTTTTTTTTTTTTTTTTGACAGAGTTCACTCTGTTGCCTGGGCTAGAGTGCCGTGGCATCGCCTAGCTCACAGCAACTCAAACTCCTGGGCTCAAGCGATCCTCCTGCCTCAGCTTCCCAAGTAGCCCTGGGACTATAGGCATGCACCACCATGCCTGGCTGATTTTTTCTATATATTTTTAGTTGGCCATTATATTCTTCTTTTAGTAGAACTGGGTCTTGCTCTTGCTCAGGCTGGTTTCAAACTCTTGACCTTGAGTGATCCTCCCGCCTTGGCCTCCCAGAGTGCTAGGATTACAGGTGTGAGCCACTGCACCCAACCAGGTGGCATCCTTTATATCATAAACATTTTAAATTTTGATGATGTCCAATTTATCTATTTTTCCTTTTGTTGCTTGTATTTTGGGCATCATATCTTAGAAACCACTGCCTAATCCAAGCTCACAAAGATTATTTATTTTTATGTTTTCTTCTAAGTTTTATAAATTTAGTTCTTACATTTAGGTCCCTGATCCATTTTAAGTTAATTTTTTATATGGTATAAGGTATGGTCAAACTTTATTCTTTTGTTTGTGGATATCCAGTTGCCTCAGCACTATGTGTTGATTTGTTTAACTGCTTAATATCAGATGATCAGTTTTTTCCCCCCCGTATCCCTTAATCCTACCTATTATATACATAGCAGTGGAACTGTTTCTATTAGTCTCTTTTCCTCTCTCTTCTTTTCCCATTTGCTAGTTGCCATTTTTCTACTTTATCACAATATACAG